CAGGGGGGTTTTAAAAAAACTTAAAATCTCCAGAGGTAGTCATTAACTCTCCAAGATGCCAATTCTTTGTCAGGGAAAATAGGCAGGCCGTACAATCCCGATCTAGGCATGTTCCAGGACCTGCACAGGGTTTGGATAGAAGACCTGTGGAACAGGAAATATTATATCATCATGATGAGTGGCTGGGTGTTTCACTGGCCCCAGGGCAACTGATATAAACTCCAATATGGTGGAGGTTGAAGATGGTTTCAGTATTGTTTTTTGGTTGTGGCAATGACTACCTAGTGGCTCTAGGTCCCCAGACTTTCTTTTTTTCCTGCATTCCAGAGGGTACATGTTTAGAAGAAAGGGACCTTAAACTAGGGTTATCTGATTTAGTTAATGCCCAGTTAAATTTGAATTTCAGATAAAGCATGGATTTTCTTAGTATAGGTATGTCCCAGCATTGCATGGGACACACTTATACTGAAACATGTTTGTTGTTCATCTGAAAGTCAAGTTTAACTAGGCATATTCTACTTTATCTGGCAATTATGCTTAAATATTTACATTAGTGTGTTTGTTAGTAAGACNTCTACTATATCTGGCAATTATGCTTAAATATTTACATTAGTGTGTTTGTTTGTTAGTAAGATATGACTGTAGTGGGTTCTCTCTGCTTCTACTGGCATCTCCTCTAAAGTAAGAGAAGGTAAACTCATTCCCAAAAAAGAACAGAGGGGAGATGTTTCCTGTCAATAGAGAAGGCCTATAGGCAAAGCAATGCTATTCATTACTAAAAATCTCTTACATGAGATTTTACAATATTGAGGGAAAGTGTCGTAAGACAATAATAAAAACTTAGAGGATTTCCCTGTCTGCTTTTGACTAATAAAGAGAATGTCAAAACTACCAAAGAAGTTTAGCAATAGAATTAATAGGATTGGCAGTTGTCACTAATTTAATAACGAGATAGAATAAAAGTTTGGAATAATTCCCAGGTTTATGGTTTGGTTGGATAAATGGTATGACAGACAAGAAGAGAAAGGGAAATATTAAATACTTGGGGGAAATGTTAAATTTCAGTTTTGGAATGTGGGTTTTGAAACGTCCTTGGGTGGAAATGCCCACCTTGCAGTTGAATATAAAGGGCAATCTGCGTTAGAGATATAATTGTAGTTGAAGCTGTAGAAACGGGAATGATTTTGGAAGTAGGATAGATAGATACTGAGTAACGAAGGGCTGATGATGGAGCCCTGGGGAACATGCACATTTAAGGGCCAGATAAAGAAAGAAGAGCATAAAGTAAAGGAACAAGATGATGTAGGCAGAATCTAGGAGAAATGGTGTCCTGGGGAAAGAAGCAAGAGCTTCCCAAAGGAAGTGCCCAGGAGGGCCAAATGCTAAGAAGGTCAAGCAAGATGCAATGCAAAACACAGCCAACGAGTTTGACAAGTGGAATGCCACTGGGGACGTGTGCCAAAGTGGATTTATTGAAGCAGTGAGAGCCAAAGCCGTACTGCTGTGAACTGGCAGGTCACAGAAGGAAGGAGGTGGAAGGAGTGAATGCAGATCGATCCGTCAGAGGTTGGCTGCGGATGGGAGGAGGCATGGCCCTGTCGGAAGGGCACATGGGCTCCAAGGAGAGCCCCTGCTCTTTTTTCAAAGGGGAACATGAAATTTAGGCCTTTGGTTGTGTGTGTTTTTAATGACAGGAACTTGATCATGTTTCTAAGTTGGTGAAGTTGAGGCTGAAACTGCAGAAGAGAAGACAGACAAGCGAGAACGGTCAGGGCCCTGAAAGCACAGAAGGGTGGGAAGCGAAGGTTTTCATCTAAAGGAGAGGCTGCCCGTTTCAGGTATGTGTCCTGTACTGTGACTGAAAGCAGATGCAAGCCAGTGAGCTGCAGAGGTGAAGGGACAAAGACCTCCTTGGAGAAACAAATCAGGTTGTCTTTCAGACTTAACCATAAATGAACACATCTTCCAAGGGGGAAATGCTCAGTCACGTTACCACGTTTTGACTGAAGTCTAAGGGGAGAATGTCACCCAGAAAGACTCAGATCAGACGGTAGAGCAAGTACAAAACGGGGTGACAGGTGCAGAAACTGGCTGTGCCCACTCAGAAGTCAAGAGAGCAGGTTCTCAGTCAGGTCTCCCTGACAGGTGTTTATCGCTGTTGAAATGTAACATGTAAGATCCTAGTGCCTTTGAGCATTCAAATATTTAATTAACTTCTTTGTTATTTGATTCTAAGAACCGTTTGTGAGCATTGCTTGCCTGGTGTGGATGCTTATCCCACCCTCAATCAACGTTCTCATTTCAAATGAGTCCATTGGCATTCTGATTTTGATGATTGCGTGTCTTATGAATTAGATAAATTAGTGTGAGTCAACTTCCTTAAGCTAAATTAACAAAAGGAGCAAATCAGATCTAAATGTTTGACTAGCTTCCCTGACAGCTAGTTGCCAGGTTCTGGTGAACATCGTCACCTTGTTGAGGAATTTGATCCCGCTTTCCTGGAGACATCTCAGTCCAGAGGCATAATGACTTCATACATATATATATATAGATATATATCTCCTGTGACCTGCCTGGCTAGGAGAGATAGTACAGAGTAGTGGTTAAGCTCTTGAGCTCTGAAACCAAATCCACTGAACAGGATCCACGCTCTTCTATTTGAGCTGTGTAAACTCAGCCAAGTTAATTAGTTTCTTGTTACCTTAATTTCAACATCTTAAAGAATGGGCTATAATGCTAATCTCTACCTAATAATATTTTGTTTTCTTCTATTTTTGAATATTAAGTGAGTTAATGCATTTGGAACTTTTAGTACATTTTTTGACACACAGTAAGTGCTTAAGTAATATTAACCATTAGTATCAGCCACAGACTTGCCATTCCCACAGGCGTCATTCACTGTGTCCCAAACTGCACTTCTTACCCTCTCTTCATTTCTTTATTTAACAAATATTTACGTTTCCATAAATAAAGGGAGGTTTACGCTTCCCCTCACAGTGCTGGGCGTGAAGGAAACAATGGTGAATAACACAGAAAAAGGCCTCTAACCAAAATACTCACAACACAAGAAAATATGATGCCTGGCCCTTAGTGCCGCAACAAGCAACTCAGTCATCCTAACAAAGAACAGCTCATTTAAGTGACCTCCTCTCCCTCACCCTCTGTAACCAAATCACCAAACTGTTTTAATTGTGAATGTGGAGGAACATGACTTAGCATCTCGTTGAGTGTCATCAGGCACCCGAGATCTTTTCATCTTTGTGATCTTTTCTCTTATACTTCCTGCCTCATGGCCACGAAATGAGTATTGCGCCTCCAGGCCACATGTCCACAATCCAGGCAAAAAGATGGGAGAAGGGAAGGGGTGGGCTTTTCCAAGTGGGTTTTGTCCTTGTGAACAAGAAAGGGAAGCCCTTCATAGGGACTCTACCTCGCTAACCAGAATACATTGTGTGGCTGCCCATAATTGTAGAGGAGGCTTGTATGTTAGCCATGTAATTAACAGGCATGTTGCTGCCTTAAGAAAATGGGTTCTATTAGGAAGAAAGGAGTATGAAGAGAAAATGTCATGGGGTTACTAGCAGTGTTTGCCACAAAAATAAAAAAAATAAAAGAGTATACGTGTTTCAATCCTAAAGGTACTTTTCTCAATCTGGTCTTAAATTTGTAGTACTTTTATGTTGACTGTATGTACTCTGTAATTTTTCTTTGTTTTTATCATTACTGAGAATGTAACAAGGTGCAGAATAGAATGCTTACATGCAAAATCACATATAAGAAAAGGCCAGGGCGAAAAATTAACCATATTTGTAAAGGGAATCTTTGGATTGATAAGAAACAAAAAAAGTATTTATTTGTTAGGGTCAGGGTTTGGAACAGGGTGACTGACCAAGAGGTATTAATAAGACCTTTCACTATATGCCATTTTTCTTTTAATTTAAAAAAAAATATGTGTTTTGAGCCATGTGTATTAGGTGCTGAAAAATTAAAAATAAAATAAGTATACATCCCCAAAATAACTAAACAAAATGAAAAAATTAGAAGATATACATCTGTATTGCCCCACCAGGCGTGGATCAGCAGTTGAGCATCGACCTAGGATCCAGGAGATTTTGGTTCAATTCCCAGTCAGGGCACATGCTCGGGTTGTGGGCTCAATCCCCATTTGGGGGTGTACAGGAGGCAGCCGATCAATGACTCTCTCATCATTGATGTTTCTATCTTTCTCTCTCCCTCTCCCTTCCTCTCTCTGAAATCAATAAAGATATATTAAAAAATAAATAAAAGATACGCATCTGTATTGATCTTGTTGACATTTCTTTGCAACATAACCACTTAATTCTTTTAACCACTCAAACGAAGTATAATTGTACTCTCTTTTCTTTTATAATTTAATGAGCCATATAATTTTCCATCTAAATAAAAACTTGATGGAAGCTAATGTAATTACTTATTTATTTTCTATACCAACACAAAAAACAAATCCAATAATAGTACTTAAAATAAACTATGCAATGAATGATATTAATATTATAGTGTGTCTTGGCAACCATCCTTTGAATACATTGTACCAAAATTGAACTACCAAGTTACTTTGTTCTTGAATCAACAGTAGTAATTCCTCATTCTGTTGTGATTATGTCCAATTTCACATTACATACTGTGTTCCAATATTTTAGGTTCATTTTTAAATTTAAAACTGCTGTTATTACTATACCTGAAAGTTTTTACCTGACAGCAGTTTTCACCAACTAGCCCTCATATAAAGAATTGTGGAAGCTAGTTCTATCCCTCTAAATATTTATATCCAAAGTCATATACTAAAGTATCTTTTAGCCACTGTGGTAAACAATATCAGTGATTACTGATCCCCCCCCCCCC